CCGGGCAAGCCCCCACTGCCCCAATGTCTGTGTCCATTGATTATGCTAATATGCATGCATACAAGTCCTTTGGTTGAAAACACATTTCCAGATTGCTTTCCAGAGCTGAGCAAACGAGACTTCCACCATCAATATAAGCTGGTGCCTACAAAGTGCTTCTCAGAAACCAGTTATTCCAGGCACTGAGGGTCCCTTTTTTATTTTATTTTATTTTTTTAAGCTTTACAGAGAAAGCAGAGAAGAAGTTGGCTTTCGCATTCTCCTGTGATGCCGAATAATCCAAGCTGGATCTGTATTTGCAGCCCAACCCCTCACAAGGAGCTGCCAGGCCGAGAGGGGTGGGGCCTCCCCATGGTGGTGGCCAGTTGGGTGGCAGCCACATGCCCAGGGCCCTCTCTGCCCCCAGCACAGCTCCCCTCTCCACCCTCCCACCCCCCATGCTGCTTGTGCTGGTCCCTGGGCCCCCTCAGCTCCTGCTCCCAGCATCACCTCTGACTTTGCACGGCCCTGCATCCCGGCCCCTTCTCTGAGGAGCTGGTGACGGTCTGTGTGGCGGCTCGCGACCATCGCAGAGCTGTGTGCTCTGTCACCGGGATATCTGAGAACGCATCCCTTTGTCTCTGGGGCAGTGGCACAGTGTCCACTCCCAAGAAAGGGGGCTGGCCCACTCTTGTGTGTGTTGCATCATGAAATGGCATCTGTCTCCCGTGGTCCTCCCCGCCCCTGCCGCAGCCATGGTCTCCGTGGACGCTGAGGGACTTGGGGGCCCGTCCCCCTCCAGCGCGCAGCCCTGCCACTTCCTGACGCTGGCACCCATCAAGATACCCCTGCGGACTGTCCCCTTCCCTGGTAAGCGAGAGCACGGCCTTCAGAGCCTTGAGTCGGTTCCAGAATCCACGGTCAGGAGCACGAGATGGGACCAGCCACCCGCAGGCGCCTGGCTCCCTGGGTCCGTGAGCTGTGGGGCAGCCACCCATCTACACAAAGGGACTCGGGTCCATTCAACAAGGCTGTGTTAAGTCCACCCGGGCATTTTCTGCCACAGGGCAAAGCTCCCGGTTTCTGTTTGAGACATGCCACGGCCCTCGCTAACTCGTTAGGGGAGGGGACACGTAGGGGACAGGGCACGGCACCGAGAAGTTTGAGGTTTTCTTACCAGAACACGAAGGGAAGCAGAGGCAGCGTCCCAGAAGGCAGTCAAGCATCTCAGTCAACACAACCCGGAACGTACACCGTGGGTCTCGTATGGACTCTCGGCGCCTGGGAGTCCTCCTGGCCTTGCACCTGGGCCTGTTCCGAGCACAGGGTTGGGGTCTGCCCACCGCGGCAGGAGCTCTGTGAAGCCCCGGAGCCTGTGGGCGTGCCTGATGGGCCGGGATGGCC